CTTTCTCGGGGCAGGTTTGGCGCAATTGTTAACAAAAATGGCATTTTGGCGCAAGATGTAGCAGACTTCCCTTTATGGAGCAATCTGGCGCAAATGACGCAGCATTTTCATCCTTGCATATCTCATGACCAAACGCCAGGCGGGTTCGGACGCGAGCAAACTCTTTCTTAGAACTCGCGAGGCGAGTCAGACCGCCGTCCCTGATGTGGACAGCGCCGACGATCATTCCGCCAGACGTGGTCTAACGTTGCCCATCCAACTACCGCACTCTCCGATAGTCGTCCCGGCCCGAAACACACGTTCCGGTTCTCTCAGCTAAAAACGCGCGTTTTCAGCCTCGCATCGCAAAGTATACGGCCGACTTTCGAAGTCGCCCACCACCGCGGGAACTGTTCGTCAACGCTTTCGTAGACCAGCCAAGTCCCTCTCGTGCTTATGGCCCACAGCACAGCCTTCGTCGACCCTTACACCCACGGTTCGGGAAAGTCACCCTTTTGGACGATACGCTCGTGGGGAACAGTAAGCCAAGGCCAATTCTATGTACAATGTATTTATTAAAAAGCAAAAGAAGAACTCGCCGGTGTCACCCTTGTCTTCGGGTTTTCCAGTGTCGTTAGTATCCGGTGCCCTCCCCCCTCCCCCATCACGGAGTCCATCTACCGCTCTTGGTCGTCGGAGGAGTGCTGCCTCCTCATGTGGCTTCTGAGTTCGCATGGGAGCACGAATCCTCTGCCGCAGTCCCCGCACTTGTGGGGATACTCTTTTGAGTGCGCCCGGATCACGTGGCTCTTTACGTTCCTTAAATGGCAGGTCCTGAAGGAGCACAGGTGGCAGGCATAGGGCTTCTCGCCGGAGTGGGTTCGCCTGTGCCTTACGAGGTCACCTCTCGTAACGAATCCTCTGCCACACTCTGGGCAGACGTGGGGCCGCTCTCCGCTGTGCGTTCTTTCGTGTGTCCACAAGTGTGCCAGCTGAGCGAACTTCTGCCCGCACTCGGCGCACTCGTGAGGGCGCTCGCCCGTGTGCACTGTCTGGTGCCTGGTCAAGTCATTCTGCCTATTGAAAGCCTTGCCGCAGGTGTCGCACACGAAGGGCCTCTGTCCCGTGTGGGTGCGCTCGTGCTTGACTAGGTGTTGTTTATGATCGCTGGAGTAGGGACAGTGACCGCATCGGTGCCTGCGCCCTCTCCTCCCGTGCATCCTCTTCCGGTGTCCCTGGAGGTGTCCGAGGGAAGCGAAGACGCTGTCGCAGTCCCCGCACGCGAAGGTCTGCACTGGCCCCTCGAGGGACGGTGCCTCTTCTTGGTCTGCACATGGACGAGGAAGACAGGGTGGGCAGAGAGTTAAGGCGGGACACTACCGTCAAATCCTGAGATACCCCTCCCCCGCAAGGTGACCCGTCCCCCATTTTCGGGTGGATTTGTTATTTTCTTTTAAAGGGGGGGGGGGGGGGGTTCAACGATTTTAAGATTAAAAGAATATGCATCTCGTAATTTTTACGTTGTTTATCATGTCCCGGAAGTTACAGAAAACACCTCCTTCATTAAAAAATGTCGCTGTTCCGCTGCATGATCACAAAGCAAGAGTCGAGCTTTTCCCCCAACCTGCAGCAACGAATGGCAGCCGAAAAAACTACAGCGAAAAGATTACATGACCTCACTCGGCTCTAAGCTACAGCCTGAGGCCCGCTAATCTTAGCAGAGAGAGAGAGAGAGGAAGCGTCCTCCGAGAGAGCACAGGGGCACCAGAAATGCAATACACGCTGTCGAAATCGGTTTTCTGTTCTTTACTTTAGGAGTGTCAGAGGGCAACTTCCACAAGTGTTTGACCGAAGTCCGGAAATCGTTGCAACCCCCCAAAACCCCCTTTAAAACACCGAAAGATAGCCCACGCTTACTAATCGTAGCGTTCGAATCAATGATACCCTTGGCGTAAATGCCTCGGTTAGCTAGGGCAGGATATATAAGTGAACATTCCTGACTGGGAAGTACAGTACTCTTTGCTTCATTGCCACCTCGCCGTGATAACATGTTTGACAGACACATTATCTAAAAAAAATATTTTTGTTTTCAACTTTTCTCGACTGCAAACCGAAAGGTAGCCCATTCCTAATTTTTGTACAATTTTCTTTTATTTTGGATGGGCTATCTCTCTGGATATTAAAGCAACTTCATATTTCAAGAAAAAAAAAAAAGCATTTTTATGTATCGCGGTTCCACAACTAACAGTGCACTCCTGCCAATTTTTATCCCAATGGCAAACTTCGAAACTCAGCTTAGCTTTGCATCCGCGATGTCCCCCACTCACGCTTGTTCTGGGCTCCGTCCTTGGCTTCGACGAGTCCTAGCTCGGCGCCAAACTCGTCCCCGTACCAGACGAGCAGCTCGGTCCCCGGCGCTATCTTGGCCCTTGTCTGGTAGTAGACGCCTCCCCTGTGCTGGAAGGCCACGAGGTTCTGGCTCTTCTCGCTCGGGGCGCAGTTGACGTAGCGCATCCAGTTGGACTCCGACAGGGGCCGGGCGTCCACCAGGTAGCCGCCCCGGCCACGCACCTGGATCCGGGCAAGTGCACGCGGTGACGCACCACTTTTACACCAGCCTCAAGCATTTCAAGGAGATTGTTTTGGCAACTAAATCAAATTATCATTGCCTATATCGACGTTTTTACTTAGAGATACATTTCTTTGACTTCGAGTTCCTATGCTATGAGTGAAGTACTGCTGAGAACAAAGAAACCTACTTGTAACTTCCGTAATTTTGGATGCGCTCATCTGCGAATGGGTATTTCTGCATTGTCGACTTTTTGTGATATTTTCGCGAGTGCAACCTGAAGGCGATGCGTGCTGCTTGTACACTGTTGCTAGTAAAAAAGTATCTTTAGGATACCGCACCGTCAGAGCATAAAGTATTAGCGTGTTTCCTAGCGTCCTGAACTTCCTGTAACACCCTCACGATTTTATCCCTGGGACGAGCTACACCCCTAAGGGAGTACGATATTCTATTGTGTACTTCGACAATTCTATCCTCACTTTCAGGTTCAGAACCTTCAAGTTCACGCATGCTCACGGAACCCACAGGGAGCACTGCACCTTCCAGGTGTATCCGTTGCCCCCGCCGGAGCCGGTGAAGCGCACGCCTTCGTAGGGCCCGTAGCACAGCCTGGCCGGGAGGGGCCTGAGGGTGAAGACCCCCTTCCCGGCCCCCTTGATGCAGGACCGGGCCAGCCTCAGACCCTCGGGCAGGGTCTTGTTCGCCCGCTGGGGGTCTCCCGGGGGAACCTGAATTAATCGGAGGGGATGGATATGACGTTACAAGTAATATGTAAAGAGAGTTTACGTACTGCAAGGACTTTGTCAGCCAGGATGACAAAAACGAACGTGTATTTGTTTGCACTATTACTTATTTTCGAACGGTGCGATAAAACTTCGGTTTCAGTCATGTTTTTGTTAATCTAACATAAAATATGTACTAAAAACAAAATCTGTAAGCATTTCTGCTGTGATTCCAGACCCGTGATCTGTATAGGACACTCGAGAATGGGATACTTTCTGACACATCCAGCTAAGCTAAAAATATAGACATGCAGGCGGGAATACCACTTTTAGAATGGTTAATTTCATGACGCTGGCTGAATATTTTGGTAGCAGATATTTAGACTTTTTTATGGTTTCCATCGAGGGTTTTCTGGATATCCTCCAAGTTAATTTCTAATATAGACACGCTCCATTCTTGAAGTGTATTGTCTCCGATGTACAGTCTGGATAATGACTTAATAGTAGCACACTAGATTTCGCAGATTCTTATCATTCGATGTCCAGTCTGGTGCTGGAGCAATCGAAGCCCGCGTGTATACTTTCCCGGGTAGCACGCGGAATTCGAGGGAGGTTACACACGGACACAGGTAACGCCCGGACCCGAAAGCGAAAACTCGATCACGCCACGAAGTCCCTCTTGTCCCAACACAGATGGCTTGCTCCGTCTCTTCGCCTCTTCCCCGCAATCCTGCCATTTCAAAAGCTCACAATGCCTCCTCGATGTGCGCCAGACACCGAGGAAGTCGTGTAAATATCTCACCGGTGTGTCCTTGACGAACTCGAGCGGTCCGTGGACGGGACAGTCGCCGTGCCGGTCTTCGCCGCACTCCAAGCAGTCTGCACAACGGACAACAGTGAGCAACACACTTCTGTAGCCCCATTATAATTAATTAAGCTTTCGAAGTTAGCATGGAGTGTCACTGAGGGAAGGGAGCACGAGATCTTGTCCGTGTATCTCGAACTTCTGGACACTCACAGAAGAACTCGTCCTCCGAGGGAACTTCGCACTCGGCGTAGTTGACGGACTTGCGGCTACGCTTCGGGTATCGCGTCTGGCTCAAGGTGCCCTCTCCGGGATCTGCGCACGTCACCGGACGAAGAAAAGTCACGTCCTACCAAATGAACCGTTCATCCGATGCCCTGATTCCTTAGGTCCAGCGGCGTTACTAGGGTCAGCGGCACACAGGGCGGTCTGCCACCCCCTTAAATTCCTGAATTCCGATATGACGCGTGCCCGAAACAAGCTTGTGCATCGAACAATAATTCATGCACGCCGCATAACCCGTGGATTCTGGGTTTATATGCCCACCCCTGCCCGTTTTGATCTGGATGAGCATCGGTCTTGCGTGCACGGTCGTGTATCACTAAGGCCCGATGTACGCGTCAAAGATCCCGACCGAGCAGTGCTATCGAACTCGGTAAATTTGTCACCTGCAGCGGACATACCAGTCGCACCATTGGGGGTAACTAACTTTACGCTGCCTAAAAATACACACAGCGCTATTCCCTGACGTTCAGCTTGAGGGCCCTTGTCAGTATGGTTTCGCCAAGCTTCGTAATGGTACTAACTTAACATCCAGGGAAATTGACACTTCCCGTCATTAACCAAGATGCGATGACAATAACGGTGACGATATTCACAGTGAATACTCCCGCGTCAAGCACTTAACGGGTCCCCGTACCGTATTCCACCTCCTGCTTCCCCTGCGCAGCGAAGAGTGGCCTCACGCAGGACCTCGAAGCCAGGCGGGAACTTCCTCGCTGCAGGGGCGTCGCTGCTCCCGCCACGGCGCTCTGAAAGGGCGGAGCACGTGACGTCGGACATGACGTCGACTGACGTCATAGTCGTGGATTTTGCTCCATCAGTTGCGGCTGTGCACTGTACGTATGACCGATCAGTAAATGCATGCAGCGAAGCGATATCGGATGCTTTACCACGCCCTGTTACTTCAGCATTTAGAAGTATGAGGTTGAAAAGTGTAGCCTCACTGTTTTTTGTGAAAACGTTTTTAGATTGGAGATTGGATAATTGAAACTTAAGCAGGTGTACAGGCCAGCTGGTGAAATACTGACACGGTAACCCATGAGTGGGGGAAAACCGGGACGGACAACACAAAGCTGGAGCTTTGTTTTGTCCGTCCTGTTTTTTACTCCGGTCCTGTGGCACCGTGGTCGTGAGTTAATTGTTGAAATAAAAGCTTTGTCTAGGAGGCGCAACAGCCGCCGCTCGGTTAAAAGGTTTCAGCCACAATCGTCCACCCATTCACCCAACTGACTGATGCAGAGAAGGTGTGCCAAATCGGGCACAAAACTACGTGACACGGAGCCGCTTCGGCCGAACGCTAACGGTACGTTTACACCTGAAAAGAAATCCGCTGCCGCGGGAGCGGATCCGCTCCCGGCGGCGGCGGCGACGAGCTGGTTGTGTTTACATCTATTTCCTTCGAGCAGTGGCGGCAGCGCCGGCTGCGGCAGCGGTTCCCGTAACGTCTCGTCAAATATGACGAGAAGGCGCGAGAGTTCCCGCCTCAGCTCTCTCTCTCCCGGGCGTTGCTGCTCCCGGAAGAACGCGTACTCGTGACGTAGGCAGCGTCGCGCCGCGCAAGAATGTCACATCCGGTCAGCGAAACGCCTCGTTCGGCGGCAGAAATAGATCCCGGACCTAAACGGCTCGCCGCCGCGTTTTTTGCCCAGCGTTTCGCCCCAGCGGCAAAAGCTGGGCAGATCCGCTGGCGGATCCGCAAGTGTAAACGTACCATAAGGCAGCACTTCCGTCCGATACACCTGCCCTGCGTTGCCCTCCATTCGGTGACGTCATGATACCAACCTTGGGGGGCCTGTTCTCTTTCCCGGATGATCCTGCGGCGGCAGTGGTCGAGGCCTCTATAAGGCGAATCGAAAAAAATTGCGACTGATTATGCGGATAACCCTGAAATCTTCGGCGTTTACAAAAGAAAGCCAAGATACGTGAAACTTGTCTAAAAAATGAAAAAAAAAAAAAGTGTTTCGGTTCTTTTTTTTTTGTATTTTTTTTACTTATTGAGTGTTCATCCGCGTATCTAATTTACAAGTTATAAGTATAGGGTTCCGTGTTATTATATGTAGTCCTATATAATTATTATATAGGTCTCAGGACTGTATAATTATTATATTGTCCTGAGGGCAAATAAAAAAGATCGATTGTATTTCAAAGGAATCTTGGTAGGAGGGAGCACAGAATTATCAAACTCCGAATCTCGGAGAATTGGGAATATAGCAAGCATAAATTTCGAAAAACCACGAATTTTTGGAGAAAAATAAACCCCTAAAACAATTTGAAATTTACTAAGAATAAACTTCCAAAACATGGAACCCCTGTCGAGACTTCGAAGCGACGAGCATGGTGAAGTTATTTTTCGTATAGGTGCTTGAAATGTCGTACATCCACCAAAAAAATTATGTGCGCCTTTTTTTTCTTTTTTCTTCGAATACAGCCATTTTTGTGTGTTTTTTGACCCGGTCTCGACTTCACCATCTGCCTGACATTTCCCGTTTTTCGAACTTACGCTTTGTCCCTGCCGATCCAGGTCTTGAAGATGGCTTGGGCTTGAAGACCTTTCCAGCGGCAGTCTCGAACGAAGCGATTTACAGCGCGTGTCCCTGGTTTTGAGAGTGTACGTCAGTGTTGCCCGACTGCGCTGAGCTGTGGAGTTTCTCGTCAGTAGGCTGTGGCAGCCTGCGTTGGCGCAATTCCGGACGCTGGTGGCGGCTGAATTGCCGCGTTTTCTTTTTTATCTTGTGTTCTGTGGCGAGCATAACTTATTGATGTCTTTAAGAAAGCAGTGCTCTATTTTTGGGAACAAAAACAAAGAAATGACAGCTGTTTTGGTGAGTCCGTGCGCGACAGAACAAATGCAACTGGAATGTTTGTTTCATTTTATGTTCATTGTTTTACGCACCGTAAACTCAGCCGTGTCAATCTATAAACGTCAAAATATTTGACCACACAGGATATCCGTACTGCATGGATATTCCCCGCCCACAACATATAATTCAATGAGTCTCATCAATCGAACAAAAAATATATTGTACGTACCCCTCGGTGCTGCGTTATCCGAACAGGATTTGAGAAAGGTCTCAAATAACACGACGATCGGACGGAATCCGGCGCGTTTTGGGGAACATGTAGAAGAGAGCTCCTTTTTTGCACAGCTTCATAGCAAATGAACGAACGTGCTTATTATGTCGCCACACCCCGGACCCGACCCTATCAGCTATTTTTTGCGAAGACCCGGAACACAGCCTGGAAGGCTTTTTGGAGATTATCTCGACGGAAATAATCCTCCAAGCACGTCGAACTGCCTGCGTCGCGGGCTGCTTGGCGTTCGCTCTCTTCGTTCGTTTCCTGCGAAGGCCGAGCGGGCTACGAGCCCTGGTATTCCCTGGTTCTCACAGTGGAACATAACATACAAAGGGTAAGCATCCTAAACAGGCGAACAAAATAAAAACTTCCAAGAAAAGCCGGCGAACTCCGAATGCAAAATGCAGGTGGGGAGTCACGCTGACCGGGTTTCCACAGCTCAGGCGGGTGCCAGAAATTTCTGGCTGATAGGGGTCGCTCGATTCGCAAAATGGCGGCGGCCAGAGCGCTCTTTTTGGAAAGGTATCCCACTGCCATCGTTTCTTCGAGTGGAAAGGGGAATCTAAGGCAGCGACTGAACTCGCCGAGCCTTTGTTGTCAGTTTCATGGAGCCCAGACATCTGATACAAATACATCTTCAGTCAGGAAATTCTGCGCCATTTGGGCCAAATTGGGCGATGAGAGGACGTCTGCTACATTTAGCGCCACAATGACATTTTTGCTAAGACTTGCGCCGCACTTGCGCCGAGGTGGGAAATGCAAAAGATAAGAATATATTATTATTGGTGGGCCACGATATTAAAAGACGCGAGAGGAGAGGAAAATGGTACAAATACATACGTAGGAATAACAGAAAAGATACAGGCGAGCTGGTGAACTTTCAACATGGCGAACAACTAAGACTTGGAACAAAAAGTGGGCGACACACGCGCCCAATTTTTTTTCAGTCTCGGGTCTACAAAAAGTTAGGCAGGCTATTTATGCGAATACTACAATTATGCGATTTGCGGAGCTGAGTTGTACGGACAGTGGGCATAGGATAGGAGGCTAATAGTAACGATTAGTCGGCTAATTGGGCAGAATGTGTTAATTGACTTTTTCATTGGTGAACATAGACATATGGTTCCAATTGGAAACTTGCTGAGCGTCATTGAAAACTACGACATCAGTAATTTGTAGAAAGACCTCGAACGTGTGAGAAGCTCAGTGGTGCTCTAAAGTTACCGCTCGTGTAGCAGGTACAAGGCTCGGGCTTTATGATAAGAGACGGAAAAATCGCGAGGGCGCCTTATCGCACAGGTAGCCTTGCTCTGCTGCACGACTGGTAGCTTTAGCGCACGCTTCTCACTCACTCAGTCTTTTTTCTAGAACGCAGTAAGACTTCGTCTACTGGGCTGTGAAGCGCGTTCGAGCGTGCGCAATACCTCTCTAGGCCGAACGATTGTACACTGAGTATGCGTTCACAGCTCAATGACTTAGGCATTTTTCGTCAGGATAGATGCTCCCACGAGAAGAGTGTAATGGATATGTGAATAGAATTGGAAATTTGAAATGTTCTTGTCCAATCGCATTTCTCTTTGGTTATCAACGCTTTTTAGCGTCATCACAAGACGTTCAACCCATAATACACTGGTGATTAAAAAATAAGCACCGAAAAACATGCACCGATTTTCGCTCAAAAATAAACACCGGAAAAAAACATACCATAATCATTACCCATGTCACCTTTTTGGGTGATATGTGAATTTCCTGAAGAACAGCGAGTTATCACCCTCCCCTAGGAGCAGAGGTCGGCATTTCAGATCGCCCTTACTCACCCTCACCCTCACAGCCACACTCACCTAAGCCCCTCACTCACCCTCACCCTCACAGCTACACTCACCTTCAGCCCCTCACTCACCCTCACCCTCACAGTCACACTCACCTTCAGCCCTTCACTCACCCTCACTGAACCTCACGGCCCTCACGGCCCTCATGCCCCTCACTCACTCATGGCCCTCACGCCACTCACCGCCCTCACGGCCCTCATCGCCCTCACGGCCCTCACCGCCCTCACGGCCCTCACGCCACTCACCGCCCTCACCGCCCTCGTGGCCCTCACCGCCCTCACGGCCCTCACGGCCCTCAGGCCACTCACCGCCCTCACGCCACTCACCGCCCTCACGCCCCTCACCGCCCTTGCGGCCCTCACACCTCTCACGCCCCTCACGCACTCATGGCCATCACGCCACTCAGGCCAGCTTCAGATGGGGCAATTTCGCCCAGAAACTTTACGTCGCAACACCAGCAACACGGGCCGCCCGCGATCACACGCAGCAACCAATTGCTGCAATTTGCCATCGTCATCATAAAATTTTATTTTTCTTGCAGACACAATTACGCGTTATAAACGTGTTTTTATGCATTTAAACCTCGTTAAGAATACTAATGCACCTTTTTGAAACAGTTTATTTCCAAAAAACGATCGATTTCAAACCAAAACCAAGTCTTTCGGTGTCATCATCACCGACACGAGGTATCACGTGAAAATTTGGTGTCCCTGATTGGATGCAGCCGCTTCAAACGTATTCGAATTGCTCCGTGTTGCTTGCTTATTTTGAGCCGGACCCGATCTCAGCAATTCGTGTCGATCTAGGGAAAGCTAGAGAACAACCCGCCATTAACACCAAAATTGCTGAGAAAGGTGCTCGATCTGAAGGGGGCCTCACGCACTCACCGCCCTCACGCCTCTCATGCCACTCACTGCCCTCACGCACTCATGGCCCTCACACCCCTCACGCACTCACCGCCCTCACACCACTCACGCACTCATGGCCCTCACGCCACTCACCGCCCTCACGCACTCATGGCCCTCATACCCCTCACCGCCCTCATGGCCCTCACCGCCCTCACGGCCCTCACCGCCCTCACAGCCCTCACTCACCCTCACACTTATGAATTTTCCTGGTTCAGAAACTCACTCACCCTCACCTCACCTGTGAAGATGAGGGTGAGTGAGGGCCCTCATGAGTGAGGTTTGCCGAGGTATGCCTAGGAGTACCCTGACTACAGAGCAGGCGACCCGTTTTTCCCAGCGTTAGATTGCGGTGACCACGAATCGTACGGAGGTCACAGGACGTCCGTGAAAAATAAAAATGAGGCAAAGAACGATCTACTCTGTGCACGCTTCATCCCCGATTTCCACGACCCCAAGGCCGAAGGACGTTTGTGTGAAGGATAACGATAAAATACAACTTTGCGTAAAAAAAAAAGCCCGTTTTTAAAAGAAAAAAAAAAAGTAGAAACAAGCACAACGCGTTGACGGACCGCGAGGTTGTGGAACACCTCGCGGTCCGCTTGCCACAGGACGGTTGTCTTCGACCCATAGCTCCAAGGTGAATTTGCCACTTGCGAAAACACGGAGACCTACCCAGCGAGAACCAGGAAAGCAAGACACGCACACTGACGCCTCGGCGCGCAGAATGAAACAGGATACGGGCGCGGAATACAGCCGCGGAAGAACACCTCGCACAGTGCCGATCCGGCCGATCTCCGAACGGACGATTTCGTATTTCGTGGACAGCTAGCGCCACCGCACGGGAGAGAGAGGTACCTTAAAAACGACGAAAACAAGCACCGACACCTTGGTTCTTTATATTTGCTGTAGTTACGGAACAAATCGACTTACATGAATAATTAGAATATTATTCGATTCCGTAATAAATTTAGAAGACATTAAGCGCAATACTTCTTATGTTTGAATTTAGATAATCTTGTAAATTCGCTCCGAACGCAAGAGTGCCGAATTAGCCGATTTTGACCATTTTTATGATTTTTTAAAGAATATAATTAAATCTATGATGAAACATTTGTTGCGCTTAGTGTCTCGATAATGACTCAATGTCTTTAAAGCCGAAATTTTCAAGAAGATCCGCGCAGCCGTTATTATCTGAGAATTTTTTTAATTTGGTGAAAAACCTCATGTATTCTCTATGGGGCTCTGAGGTGTGCCCCCTCTTAAAGCTACGCTTCAGAATAACGACACTTACCCATCTTGGTGCTTAAATTCATGGTTGCCAGTTATCTGAAGCTTTATCTGAAATCACTGGAAACGTTTTTTTTTTTTTTCCTCTACAAATGTTTAAACAGTTTGCGACAGAGCAAAGCAATATTACATGAGCTTCCTAACACTGAATCTACGGCTCAGGAAGTCGCACGTTTGAATCCTGACGATCGGCAGTTCCGTCTGCTCTGTACTAAGCCCACAACAATATCGGAAAACAGCGTGTCGATACTCTTAAGCGTAGCTCAATTAGTGACTCTACTAGTGAGATGTGGGCAACTCCCCCTGCCGGGACCGAAGTAATCACCCGGCCGTTCCTGGTTCAGCATGTGAAACACGTGCTCGGCGAGAAATGCTAAGACAAGACTCTGGACGTGTTTTGGGTGTAAATAAAACGGTTAGCCACTCTC